TAGAATTATATTTTAAGTTATATGAATAATAAAATTAAAAATTATCAATAGATAATTGTATTAATTTTAAATTATTAGTTTCTTATGGAAACTTTAAAAGATTAATTTACATTTAGCACAATAATTGTGTTTAAAATGAATACTATATATTATATTTGTATAGAAATAAGATTTGTCTCTGCAAAAGACAAAAAAAAATGTTTTCTTTAATTTTAATTTATTATTATAATCTATTGTAAAATAGATTTATTCCATATCAATGATATGTTTTTCTAGCAGTTGTTATTATATAAATATAATTATTTATTTATTAGTAAAAATTTATCATATGTATTATAAATATATATTTTTATGCCTGCATTTGTATATGTATATACGTAATACATATTCATATAGCAATCTATTGTTTACTATTTATTGTAACAATCTATTTTTTTTTTATAGTTGTATAATAATTCTAATTGTAAATGTATGCATGTCTTTATTGATGTTTATTAAAATTTATAGATTAATGCTTTTTAAAAGTGAAACTATTTTAAAAATATATGCAAATATATAAGTCATAATATACGTAATAACAAAAATACAATAATAAGAATACAATATGTATTCTTTCTATTAATTAAAAGTAAATTGAAATTGTTTTGATTTTAACAATTTTAACTTCTAAGTTGATAATTATTCTGTGTAATACATATATAAATAATATATTATGTATAAATAGTTTAAATAATTTGTTTTGTATGTATAATTTAATTTGTATGTATAATTTATTCATATGCCATTTACAAACTATTATTAAGTAATTTCTCTAATTTGATACGTATATATAAATACGTATATATAAATTATTTAAAAAAAAAAATCTGTCACTATTAAATTTTTTGTTATATTTGATAAATATTGTAATATGAATCATATCTCTATATTTATGTATATGTTAATATACTGCAATAATAATTTTATGATTGTACTTAATTGTGAATAAAAATTAAATAAAATCTACTGGAATATAATAATAAAAAAAATTATTTTTTACAATTTATTTAATTTAATAACATATACTTCAAAAATAAAACATAAAATTTATTTGATATTATTTAACTTATTTGATATTATTTTTAATTAAAAATAAATGTACATTATATTATAATATAATTATATTAATACGATCAAAAAAGTATTGATATATTCTTTAAAAACGATTTTTTAAAATTTTAATGATTTAAGTTTTTTTAAAAAATTGCAAAGAAAATAATTTTTTTCATTTTAGTTGAACCTTTAACAAAAATTTAAAAACTACTTTATAGATTTATGCTAGTTATATACATCTGTAAATTTTATTGAAATGGGTAATGCAAAAATAAGATATAGAAAAATTATGATTTTTTACTATCTTTAATCGTTTATAGCAACATTAATTGATTTTTAAAATATATA